TACTGTTTAGGCAGAAAATACATGGTTTGCCTGTGATGAACAATTAAAATAGGAATGTCACACGTATTGTGATAGATATGTAGGTTATTACATAAATGCTTGCAAGTACAAATGATGGAAAACGATGGAATTCCCAACTCCTAATTTTTAGGTAGGGATAAAAATATAAAAACTTTTGATATCATAAGGGCTATTGATAACTACTATTTTGGGAGAGGCCCAATCTTTATCAATAATTATTTTAGCTTTGAGCTTGGTGACAACTCAATGACATGAATATAGTCAAAGTCTATGCAATTATAAGTGATATTCCAGCACGTTGAAAGGTTTCACGATGTCGGATACGCTCGAGAGCTCCGCTAGGGTTTCCAATGGGGATTTCGGTCGCAATTGATTCTACCGCGCTGGCTGGAAGTCGAGGAATCTTTGACTCTCGCTCCATCCATCTTCGTCTTCGTCTTCGTCGGCATCGACGTCGCTGCCCTCCATTGTGCGCATCGTCGTCCCTCGATATCGCTACACTTGCTCGATATCGCTCCTCACAGCTTTGTCGTCTGCGCCCGTCTGTTTCGGCGCTGCTCGATATCGCTCCTCGCAGCTTCGTCGTCTGCGCCCGTTTTCTTCTGTTTCGGCGCTGCTCTACTTCTGCGCCTGTTTTGGCTTCGGCGCTGCTGCTTCTGCGCCCGCCTGACAGCTCCTTTGCACTTGGCAGTAGTTTAAAGATAGCCTCTGACCTCTAATGGCATTTCCTTCTTCTATGGTGGAGCCGGATAAAGTCTCTTTTACTCACGTAGTGGGTAACCCTCAAATGAAGTCCGCAGTGGGATTCCCTCAAATTATAAGGAATCTCGTGGGGTACTGATGATTGTCCTTTTATTAAGAAGGGAAGCAAGAAAAGTGAAAAAGAAGCAATCTTTTTCTCTGAATCAGAAATTTCTACTCTGACGGAAAAATTCAAAATTGCTCTTATTGGAAAATTTTAATGGGGACACTCTCCTATGGATGTTATCAGAAAGAGTGTTGATGATCTTAAGCTAGTAGGCAACTGGAAAGTGAGACTCGTGGATGAGAGACGTGTGTTGATTCAACTAACAGTGGCTGAAGATTGTACTAGAATTTTCTCCAAGAAATATCTTAATATCGCAGGCAAATCAATGAAGTTACTCAAGGTTCTCCTGATTTCTTTTGACCCAAATCATGAAACTCCCACTGTACCGGTATGGTTTAGTTTACCTGGTCTCAAGCTGCATTTTTTTCACTATTAGGTTCTCTACTCTATTGGAGTCATTCTTGGGGATCCTCTGAAACTAGATCTGCCTACTTTCAACCTAACCAGACTCTCGGTGGCCAAAATACTTGTGGAAAGTGATATTACTTTACCTGATGTATTGACAACAAATCATCATGGAACACAAACCCCCATATTGTACCCACTGTAAGATGTTTGGTCATATCCTTGTTAAATGCTACAAACGTCATCCTAATTTGAAATCTAAGGTTCAAGTGAATAAGGATGGGTCTAACCCCATTGCTGTGGACATTTTAGTTCCACCTGAAGAGGATACTACCAGACATGAGGTGTCTGTTGCCCCTGAGGATCCTCCCCATGAAACTGTTATTACTGCTACTGTGAGTGATGAGATGCTGGCACCTACAAAATCCATACAGAACAATACTGATGAACTCTTACCTATAAATGATGGTGTCCAGACTGATAATCAGGAGAGCCTCGCAGCTCCATTTCTTCAAGAAGTATCCGGTGTAGCGGAAACTCATACTTCACATATTCCAGAACCTACTATGAGTACTACTGTTGGTAATCCTTTTTCTTCAGCTCTACCTCATCAGGCTGATTCTTCGGAGGAGGAATGACAGGTTTACACTTCCAGGAGGAAGAAGAGGAATGGAGATCTATTAGAGCTCAGGAGTTTTATGGATGATACTTTGGTTACTACGGGTAATGGTCAGCACCTTACCAATCTACTAGCTGGATCCCTCCTACCGAGAACTAGAGCCATAGG